CTATAGAAATATAGGCGGCGGGCATATGACGTCTATTATCCAATGACAGATCGTCATTCTATTCAGAAGCAAAACAATTCTGTGCATCTTTCAATTTGTGTAATTTTGTTTATAGCTTTGTACATGTATACAGTTTTGAAATAAAAATATGTATACATTTTCCGCTTTGAAAATCTTGCGCTTTCCTTGGGCTCTTTATTTAATATATTTTTTAATTTAAAATGTTAAATATTTTTGGCCGATTTGATGCTTTGCATCAATCTCAACTTTTTATGAATTGTCCTTCCCGTAATATTATGAAATCTATGATGCACAAAATATAGTCATTTACAACCACAATTAACGACCGGCATTTGAAACATGGATCGACTAACCACCCCCCCCCCCCCCCCACACACACACACACACACATACACACACACCTTACTTAATTCAAAAAAAAGTAGTAAGAGCTTATAAAATCTCAAAAATCACATCATTATGTCGTTTTATGCAATCATGCAGATAGAACGTTTTATCATACAGTACATGGCGAATCTCTAAACCTGTGAAAAAGTACAAATTTTAAATGAATCTGTTTGTATAGAACAAAGTATGGATGTGATTAGAAATCTCATAATTTTGAGAAATTCTGGGCCCTTGCTATATTTTATTTATTAATTGAGGGTGGGTAGGGGTAGGATCGTCTCCACACTTCCGGTGTCTGTGCTATTAACATATAACTACTCGTTCAATATTATTCATAATTACTGTATGAAATATGAAGATAACGAGCAGTAATCAATCTCAAAAGTCTAATGAAACAATACAAATCTGGAGCAGAGCAAACACGGACCTCTAAAAACGTTAGAGGTGGGATCAGGTGCCATGTAGGAGTGACCATCCCTTGCTGACCGGTCACATCCGCAGTGTGCTCCTTGTCATGATCGAGAAAAACGGAAAAATCCATAGACAATTTAGTGTGAAATTAAATAATAACCTACCAAATAGTATGAAAAAAGTCAGTCAGATAGATTTTATTTGTATCGACCATAAAACTTGCAAAATGATGACTTTAAACGAGACTCTTAATATTCTTGTTTCATCAACTTGTTTGTCAATAGCTTACCTCGTTTTAGAAATTGCTCTGGCGTATCTAATCAACTGAGAGATATAAACCCCGTATGCAGGTGATAAGGGTATATTGCTGCATAAGTAATGGAAGTTGATGATTGAAAAGTTAAAGTCATCACGTTTTTCATAAAGCTTTGTTGTTAGATTACCATTAACTCTTTTTCTAACAAAATATCCAAATATGAAACAGATGTGTTAGACTCTGTGGTATCTTTTATCTCAAGCTCACCTGGATATATCGTGTCGACATAAGAATGGAAATGATATCTGCATTTTCAGATGTTAGGTTATAATCTTGTAAGTTATTATCAGATAAAAGACAAGTACAAATTGACAAAATGCAAATTGACAAATGTACAATCAAAACATACATTAATCAAAGGGTGAAAATAATTTTTGACATCGTTAATAATCGGAAAGTAATTCGTATAATCAGCACAGCTTTCATTGCCGAGTTCCTATTTTGTACAGAATTTCTGCTTGTGATCATGCTCAACACTTCTCCAACAAATTACTATTACGCATCCCATCTCAATAATTGATTCGTTCGGTCTCTTAGAGGGCCTTGGGGTCGAGGTACAGTCCGGCTGATCAGAGTCGCTGTGGCTTATTAATAAGGTTGACTATTATATATAATATTTCATTCAGAAATTAAGTCATTCCTGTACCATTAAAAAGCACCAGCTCCTTGAATTAGAATGCTATTTGTGCTTCTGTAAATCGTTACAGTTACTAAGACGCACAAAAATTTGTACATGCATCATTTCTCTTATTATTCCCATGAAATGAAAGCATTTTCTGAAGCACAGATAAAACAAATTCATTCTGCTGGCCATCATTTTCTTTTTCTTTGTTTATCTTAACCTGAAGAAAGTCTGGTATACTCACTGATGGGGTTAGGTCCAGTTCATTATATGCTACATTAAATGATTGTGATAATCCACTAAATGGGTTTAGAATTGATTTTAAGAGACTAGAATTTACATTAAGGTCCATCATGTTTTAATCATTTTAACTTAAAATAAAAATCCTCCTTTAACAACACATGCAGTCTCCAAACAATATTATTCTATTCATAGAACACCAATCCTAACCCATACATATTTCAATTTCTTTTTTTTTTTTTTAATTTTGTCTTCAGAAAAATGAGCGAGTTGAAATTTTGATAAAAATATTAAAGCGTTCATATAATTATGTCTAAAACTCTACAAAAAAGTTTCCAAGTTCTGCGGTTCAAAGGTCATTAGAAAGGTTAAAGTTTATGACAGAGACAAAGAATGACATATGGTCAGAGGGAGAAAAACAATATATTCCCGATTTTTGATTTCGGGGCATAAAAACTCCCTGTCAAATTATGCTGTAAAACTGTATTGTTTCTATGTTGTCTTTACCAGTACTGTTTCAAAAACAATGCAATTAAATAACAATTTTATAATGGAAAACAGCTTAAACAGGACAAAGAAAACTCAGATCTATATTCTTGAAACAAAAAAGGTACTAAAAAGATATAAGATTTTTTTTTTCTGAAAACGATGGCAATTTTGAATTCATACTGTCTGCTTCGACTTTCTTTTCTTTTTTATGTCAAGTTTGGAACGACTGGTCTTGTTGGAAGTCGGTTTGGGTTGAACACTTTTTCCTTTTCGTAAGCATTTTCCATACACTAAGATACATATTATGGATACAAGTAATATAAAAATCATATCCAATACGGTTATAATCATCAGAAATATTTCATATCCTTCTATGTCTTCTGTGTCAGAAATCACAAGTGGGTGTACAAAGATGAACAGGGCATTAATGAAGGACGTTAATTTGAATACAATAAAAATTCTCATCCAGTAGCGATTAACACTGACGTTACAGCAGAATTCCATCAACGACACAACGCTGGCAAATATCAGCACAGCAATGACGTACACTCCAAAGAGCACCTGTCCGAACCAGTGGTCAAGGTGAAGGCCATTTGATGCTGAGTTCTACGGCGTCAATAATGTATCCTATCCAAATCCTAGCCAGGAAGCAAGTTTTCTTTTCAAACTTATGACATGCATTAGCAAGATTTTTCAAAATAATAAAAGTGATATCCAAAATATCTATGACGTCTGAACTTCCGCTCTCCAAGTCCACGCTGTCCAAACAAGGCAGATTCACTTCTAATTTGCAACATCCTTTAAGTGGCATGGTACTGGAACAGCAACGAGTGAAATTTGAGCAATTAAGAGGAAAGTTACAAACAGGTGTCTTTACCTTATCCGGGGATTAAATGCAGGAAACAAGATTCGGTCTCGGTGGGTATTTAACAAAAATACTTATCATTACCTGTTAACATTAATACTTGCTAAAATAAATAATATTGGTATTGAGAATTTTTATTTACACAATAGTTGTCTTTATTTTAAATAGATATCGTTTTGCAGATTTAAGTCGGCTTATTTGTTATACAAACAGGCTATAGAATTGAAGATTTTGTTTATTTTTGAAATTATCAGAGTATTTTGACTTAAGCGGTTTGAAAATTTATTTATATGAATTTATTCTGATATTGATGGTGTTTTTTTTTTCTTTTTATCTTTCATGAAGACTAGGGCAAACATGCATGGCAGATTTGAGTTAATAGTCCCGGAAAAAAATGTTTTAACCTCAAACTTAATTTCAAAAGAAAGTGACGCGAAAACGGTAATATTAACAATAATAGGATCGTTCCATGAACGTGCAAATTTTGTTTTACTTTTTTGAGATCGGTCACTGTTCGTTATCTTCCCTGTTTTTATTTATGGAGAAAAAATAATTTTCGTCTGCCACAAAACGAAAATATTGCTTCACTTCTACCTCTTATTGTACGCGTGCGCAGAAAAGTTGAGGAAGCTACCATGGTCTCATGAATGAAATGACCTTGACATGCACGATAATAACGATACGGTAGATACAACCTTTGTTTATATTTTGCAGTCCTTTCTTGTTTTACAATGAAATTGAGTCTATCAAAACTTCGCTAAACACACATTTTTCATAAATCTTTCGCTTCATGATACAAATATCTTAAAAGTAACACATTAATTTAACTCATTTATAGTACTTTAATTGAGTCTGAGATAAATTACAGACATTTTTATACAGACTGTCGTTAGTTCGAATGTTGACTGACGTATTATACTTAATGCAAATTGTAAGGCCTTTATTTTCATACTGAATTGTCTGCAGATTACTCCTTTACCCAATCAAGACAAAGGGCTCACAGATTCCTCCATGGCACCTGATCCCACCTCATAGGACCTTGCTTGCTGTCTGATCTCCGCGAAATGTAATGTAATATAATGTAATGTAATGTATAATCAGACTTTTTTAGAACTGTTATTCGTTATCTTTACATTTCATGGGTATATTTATGTACAAAAATAGAGAAAATTATCACACAATGAAAATTATTTTCTTGCAATTAGTGCATAATTCTACATCTTTTCTATCAACATTTGTAAGTACTTCGAGTACTTTGATTCCTGTTTTTTTTATCAACTAAGAGATAATCGTTCATCACGTGATACGTATTATTAGGTTAAAGCCTCATAAGTAAATAAACAAGAGCTTTAACTGGGTGAGTCTTGATTTCAACTTTTCACCTTAATCTCAATTAAAATTGTCGCAATTTTAGTAGCATTTCTGATTATCTACTTCAATGTAACTTTCATTTTGAAAAAAAAGGGTCCATAAAGAAGCAGTGATCGGAGGGTGTACATCTTTCTTCCCTATCTGACGAAGTAATGTAAACAAAGGCCCTAAGTGCTACTGACATATTATCTTCAATAGTATATGATAAAATTACATATCGCATAATCGTAATTATACGTATTTAAGGAATCTCTGCATATACTTTTATTGTAGGACATCAGCGACTGAAAGTTATGGATCGACATTCAGGTAGGAATTGTTTTTTTCCCCAAAAATTTATCCTTGATATAAATGTGTCAAAATTAGTGTGTAATTTGTGATTTGAAGTGATAAAACCCAATTTATTTGGAAAACTTATTTTAAATGTTAATATTCGACGTTATGAAGTGGACCATTTTGGCAATATTTTGTAATATATGTCATTTGTTTCTTCATTTGTATTTGATTAAGATACGTTCGTTTTTATAGAGTACGAATACACCGATAATTTTAAGCTTTCTGAGCAGGCGAAAAGGGACTTTGAAGAATATGGATATATCCTAATCCGGTGAGATGGATAATTTATTCAGATACATGCCAGATCATACCCACACTCATGATAAAGAATATATTGATACACCGTAGAACCTTATATTTCTTTTCCAATCTGAAATAAAGACCCGATTCTGTAATAAGTATGCTCTGTTTGTATATACATGTACATGTAATCATTTTAATGTGATAAATTTAACCCTGTGTGTACCTCAGTTTACCGGTCTAACTATGAGTAGGGACCCCAGTGGAAAGATGACCGGATCTTAAGGAAAATCAGTGTGTGATGTTCTAGTAAGGTATCTACATGTAGTATACTCTTCAAAAATAGGAACGCATAGTAAGATTTTAGTGACACGTTTAAATCTAAATGTCATATTAACTCGATCCAGAATTTTAAGATCACAGACAGTTCAAGCTCATTAAAGATCAATATCTGGTATACCCCTTACAGACACCAATGATAGCCTGAAACGTCATCTTAATGGACGCAGATGAGTGTATTAAAACTGTATGGGAATGCTATCTCACTCTAAACGTAGGGGTTTTGTCAGCTGTTGCACAGTCTGGGGATGCGATTGTCTTTGGTGAATATACCTATCCATTTTGTCTAATGCTTGCTCAGTGGGGTTTAAATCTAGCGATTTAGATGGCCAGGGCAAAACAGGATGTTGTAGCTTTGAAATAATGCAAACAAACTTATCAAATAAGCCGTATGTAGATTGAAATACGGCTCCAGGATGCTGCATTATTGGAAAGACATATACAGTAGAAGATCGTTAGTGTGCCGTTTTCCGTTCTCGTAATACCGTTTTGCACATCACTACACTACCACAACCAAATTTATCAACCTCCAGGAGGCAGTTTTTTTTATAAAACGTTCGATACAAGGCTTTTTGCTTTCTGACTCTTACATCAGGCTTTGCAATAAATATTTTGGACTAGTAGCTAAACCAAACTGTTCACCTTCGTAGTCGGTGTTGTGGGGGCAGAACAATGACATGAATAAGTCCTCAGGCGATAATTCCAGCATCCCGTAGTGAATTGTTAGATAGTGTGTGCAGTTGAGGGATAGCTATATAATGCTATAGACGACGTGAATTACGAAACGTTGATTAAAATTGCGCAAACCTCAGAATCCCTTGCTGCTGATGGTCTTCCATATTTTTTGGCGATCTTTTGTTGTATCATGCTGTTGGTATCTGTTTTATGGGTCTGATATATATGGTGCTTTATACAACATTAAAACCTGTTGCAATTGTACATCTGCTTCCAGTCATCCAATTTCCTGTTTTTCGGGGGGGGGGGGGGACAGTTAAAGTATTGATAACCCAGCTTTTGATAGTTCTTTTGTACCTGAAGGACTTGGATCAGAACCCAACATAAGAAAATTGTTTTTTTTTTTTTTTTTTTTTTTTTTTTTTTTTTTTTTAAAAACAAACCAAATTTATTTATTTATTTATTTATTTTATTTTTATTTTTTTGCTAAAAGTAGGTCTTTTTGTCTGTGAGATTTATAGAATTGACATTGGCTGTCAAATTAACAAAAGCATTACAAAATAATGCATTTTACTCGAATGAATCATATCTATCTAAAATTGCTTTTATGACAAAACTATTTAATATTACCGGTATTCAGGGTTTTATTCCTATTATGTGTTTCCTTTTTTAAACAGTATAAAAAGAATGGTGAAGATAATAAACAGTGATCGATCTCAAAAAATCTATAAACAATACAAATCTGTGAAGAGGGCATAAAACACGGACCTCTGGAAATTCTAGAGGTGGGATCAGGTGCCTAGTAGGAGTAAGCGCCCCCTGTTGACCGGTTACACCCGCCGTGAAATGCTGGTAGCGAAGGAATTCTGGGAAGGTTTCACACAAAAAAATTGATTGATGAACATACAAAATGCCGTGTTCTTATACGTTAGTCTGTTAAGCTTGCTGCGCTCGCTATAATTAATCCACAGTTTCTTTAATTCGCGACTTCATTGAGATCGCAAATATAGCAAAAATTAAAATAATCATCTCCACAGTATAGTGGCTGCTGTCGAATGCTAATTTATTATGGTATGAGAATTCATCAAATCTATCTAAAAGATGATAACATGAAAGCCACTTTAATTTAACTCCAATGGAAATATGTTTCATTGACCTACAGAATAAAACAAATTCCTACCACATAGCGTATTCTAGGAAATGTCGATTGAAATAACGGCAGAAATGGAAGAAAAAGTCATCCTTATAGCATAACAAGAGTTTATCGTTAATATTCAAACAATTTAAAGAATTGAAACACATGACGGCAGCAAAACTTAAATACAGATCTACAAAGTGCACTTTCCTCGGATATAGTGATTAATTCGATACTTGAAAATTTTAAATTAGGGGTCTACTTGACAAAGAAGAAGTTAATAGAGTACTGAAAGTACTGGAGGGCAGTGACGCTATGATGAAAGAAAACTATGAGGTACTTTACTTAAAAAAAAACACACACATATTTTTCTATTACTAAATGAAATCAATTATTTTTTTTTTTTTTATTTTTTTTTTAAAAATAGCAATACTTTTATAAAAATACAAGTATTTAATCAAATATTACATAGTTTGAAGAAGTAAATAAGGCAAAGAAGACGCAACGAATAATTTGGTCGCACCCTGGTTCTGACGTCACAGGAATGGTAGCTCGCAGCGAAAAAGTTGCAGGAACATGCGAACAGGTACATTTTTAGTGTAAAAACAGTTACTGTGTTTAAAGAATACGTGCCGCCTAAGGATACTCTTTTGTAGTATCGGAAATAATAAATTATTTTAATGGGATTAAATTTAAAAAAAAATAATCTTTTATTGTTTATATGAAAAAAAAATCATGAAAGTTGAAAACGAATTATAGAAATACATTGATCATAAAATGTACTCATTCACTTGATGCTATGCACAATCTGTAGTTTTCTGTTCAATTTTTGAACTTCAATTTTATTTGAATTATATATTTGTCTTGCTAATAACTTACAAATTGTTTCAGTAATTCATGCAGTTATATTTATCCCTGTAATCCAGGAAAATATGTTTATATAACCATTTTATGCCTCGAATATACGAACATTCTTTATTGAGGATATATCCAAATGACTCAGCGATTCCGACGGATTCGTAAATTTTGAAAACTCTCCTGTTGATTTATTTATTTATCTTTAAACCATGAACAAAATGTTAAATGCTGTTAAATAATGTTAAATACTGCACATATTTTGTCAAAAGGACGAACTTGAATGTACCAATACAACTCTACGTTATGATTATCTTTTAACTGAAATATACCTGATCATTTAAAGGAGATGAAATTTGAAATAGAGTAAAAGGCTTTCATTCAATATGTGACTTCTCCTGGACAGACATCCAGACAGGACAAAATGATTCCTATGTGTCCGCCATGCCAAGTAGACAACACAGAAATATACGTATCTAAAGATGTATTAAAATAAAACAAGAAGAATATTTTTTATCTGGTACTTTGTTTTAGCTTTTAGGAGGAGAGGTGTATCATTACCATGGGAAGATGATACTGAAAGGGGCACAGAAGGGAGCCCAGCACCTGTGGCACCAAGATTACGGGTAAATATCAAACATTCATTCCATTATTGAAGTAATAATATTACAGGTCAGCATCTAATTCTAAAGTTTGCAATGCTTGCTTTAAGGTTGTCTTCTATACTAAGAGTACATGAAGGAACTAAATTTTAATAACCAAATTTGATATCAAGATGGTGAGAAGATATCAAATCTTATACCAAAAATAAAGGGTCGATTAGTTTTCGAAGTTTGCTGTTAAATTATGCAAAATTAGTCCACGATTTAAGAGTAATTAAGGAATGTAGAATGTAGAAAAATAATAAGAATAGATATCGTATTTTAAAACAAGTTCACTGATGAAATCAAGAATACAGATAAGTATCGGATGTTTAGTACCGTAGTTTACGGTAAGAATATAGGGAATTAAAAAAGGAGAAGGTGACAGGAATATTTTTTTGTTTTGTTTCTTTTTTTCTTTTGAGGACTGGATTTGCTGAAGCACTTGTTTATTCTGAATATGCATCCACGTTTATAAGTATTACACATTACCCAGAGATCTATTTTACAGCATACGAATGTTTTCTTATATTGCTTTAGATATTGGTACAACAACGGTTGCCTGTTCCCTGATATGATGACGGTTTTTATTCCATTGGATCCTTGCAGGAAAGAAAATGGCTGCTTACAGGTTACTCAAAATTAAAAAAAATCATTTAATCTTTCAAATTTATCACAAGCATTTAGTGATACAGATTTCAAAACAAAGTACAGTAAATAGAACACTGAAGAAATATGAAACAAATGACTGAAACAAACGTAATGTTTTTAAGATACTGGAGGGTTCTCATAAATGTGGCAGGATTGACCATCATCCTGTTCTGAAGCAAGCCGAGGCGGATCTATCACGGGTGGAAGAAATCAAGAAGACTTGTCCTCACAAGTTTGTTGAAATGGATCCAGGTCTCAAAATATTGCTCTAATCCATAACCAGTAACATAATGCTCTAATCCATTACAAGTCAAATATGAAAAATGGATCCAGATCTTAAAATAATGTTCCCAGATAATCCTTAACAAGTAAAACAAAGCTCTAATCCATAACAAAAAAAAATCTAATCCATAACCAGTAAAACAAAGCTCTTATCCATAACAAAAAAATGTTCTAATCCATAACAAGTAAAATAATTCTCTAGTCCATAACAAGTAAAATAATGCTCTAATCCATAACAAGAAAATGAAATATGGGGAGATAACGAACAGTATTCGAGCTCAAAAGTCCATTAAACATTACAAAATAGAAGCAGAGCAAACACAGGCCTCTAAGACATCAGAGGTGGGATCTGGTGCCATGGTGAAATACTGCAATTTATTTATTGAATATAAGTGATATTCTGACATAGTGTGGAAGGATATCAAAATGGTATTCTCACAGTGTGATAATATCAGAAGTGCGGCAAAACTCTCGATTTTGCTTCCCATCACGAAGAGTGTTTAAAAAACCTTCCTGGCCTGTTTTAAGATAGAGGGAATAAAGGAACCATCCTGACAGAGATTAAAACTGCCAAAGTATCTTCAAATATGTTGTTAAAAATTCATGTTTACAACGTTTTTCAATCTCACAATCACTTAGCTATGATGTCTCAACCGCTCAACTATGACGTCACAGCCTATGACACTGTTTACGAAAAGACAGAGTCAAAGGCATCGTCGCAAACCAAAATATACGATCCTCTCCCATTCTGGTAGGAGAGCTATATGCAGACTCCGAACCGTGGCTTGAGACGATGAGTCAAAGGGAAAATCAAAGAAAATGTAATAAACAGAAAATTTAATGTTTTATAGATGAATATGGAATTTATTTCACTCGTGAGACAAGATTTTTTTTATATTTTCACTGGTGCTTTGCACTCGTGAAAATACGAAGAAAAAAAATCCTGTCCCACTAGTGAAATAAATTCTATATTCATCTACAAATCATTGAATATCCTCTATATATCCTCTGTGTATTTAGGTTGTTTTGAATAAATTCTTCTTCATAAGAAATCAAAAACAGGTCTACTAAATCACACAAGTAAAATTATGGGCCATTTCACTTAATTCAAGTTTTGCAAAATAAGTGTCAAATAATACTTCATAGATTTAGAAAACAAGTTGTTAAGCTTTCAATAATTCTTGTAGGTGATGCTCTGTTTTTCCATTGCAATGTGCTACATCATAGTTCTGATAACAACAGTGACATGCGCAGATGGGTGTACATCTGTACTTACAATAAAGCCAGCAATGACCCAATCATTGAACATCATCACCCAAGATACACCCCACTTACCAAGGTCGGTATAGGTCAGGAATCCATTTAAATCGTGTCAGGAATCCATATAAATTGTGCCCAGAATCCGAGAATTCATATACGTCCTATCAGGAATTCATTTACAGCTTGTTCAAAAATGAAAGAGTACTTCATTTTATTTTTTATTCAAAGTCTTCCTTACACAGCAATTCTCTCTTCTCCGTGTTTTTTTTTTTTAATTTTATTTTTTAATCTATAATGCAAATATGAAGAAATTCATGATATTTGATAACATTTAAAGAGTTATAAAAGGTAGATGTGAATACAGTAAACTAAGGTAGATGTGAATTTAGTAAAGGTAGATGTGAATTCAGTAGAGGTAGATGTGAATTCAGTAAAATCAAACGTTAGTACAGATTAATTACACTGAAAATGATAAAGTAGATCGTCAGGAGAAAGGCCCAAGTTCTAAAGCATAGCAAGATGGACTTTAATAGAGAAATGTGGTAGAGTTTTAAAATGTTGGTATATTCTTTACTGAATGACACTAAGAAATATTGACTCACAGGTTCCCAACTCTGCAATCAAGGAGTGTACCAACTTCACAGACATGAGTGGAAAGGACTTCATCCACCCTGACCGTAATGCAACACTGACGGAACACATACGCGTTGTTCATTAAAGGAAGGAGAGGAAAAATTGAAAACAAACATTTTACTTCACTATCTTGAGGATATACCCATATATTTACTCAAGTTTTGTTTTTAAGAGAAAGGAAAATAATGAGAATCTTTTGTTAAAATGGTTGTGAAGAATTTTGAAAATATTGATTCATTATTATTATTTTTCTTTTGGTCAAAACTAGCCAAAATACGCATGTAAGGTTCAATAATGGGCATAAAAGATTCTCTCTCTCTCACACACACATGATTGTGTGGTGTGTTTTCTTTATATTTCAGGAGATACATACTTCTATCGTGGCCTTCATTAAGCAAGACTGGTATATTACTACTGTAATTTTTCAATCTGTCCTAAAGTTAAAAATTATCTAATAAAATAAATTATGAAATTACACAAAATTTATTGAGTTAACTAAAATGAATTCCGTAACAAACAACCAGTCAGGATTTGGAATACAGAGTAGATGAATCGGGCAGTAAGCCCTGATTACATTTGTTAGAGGTACAGCAGAAATGACACGTGTAATCTCCACTGACTGGCACGTGACCATAGTTTGTACAGTGGTCCTGATCTGATGTCTGAGACAACCACTGGTTCCTGCATACAGTCTCGTTCACACACCTGCTCCAAGAAAAGAAATGGACAAATAGATGATTATTAAAATATTCAACATTATTGAATATTCAACATTATGAACTACAAAGCTTATAAATGCAATTGTACGTAAAAGGACGGATCAAATTTGGTCCTTGTTAGATACCTTACCTTTAATTTCTAATGGTAAAGATCTAAACTTGCATTCAATGATTCTACATCCCCCCTCAATTAGGCCCTTAGATTTTGCATTGATCTAGAATACTTTCTGATCTGTTATAAATATCACCTTTATCGTTAAAACATATAATATGCTAGCACAATTTTTCACCTTTTGAAGACCCTCACGTTACTATGGCTATGTACTATGTCCGTCATGCAGTAATTATTGTTTCCTGAACAAGAGACAGTGGGGCCAATGTATATACTCCGGGTATCACAAGGAATGTCTTTGTTATAGTCGCCACACACTTGACAGTGAATAGATGCTGTAAAAGTAATAATAATAAACAAAATAATATCAGTCATACTTGGTATTGTAACTTTTACACAATAAACAGTTTACCAAACAATATAATAAGTTTTTGATGTATAATATACATGTATGTATATTTCATAATTATTTGCTTTAAAAGTGTAAATGACTTTGAGAAACAGAGTAATTCAATAAACCACTACATTTTTGATGTTACTCACGTCGAGGAGTAGTTGTAGTGTCGACAAGTGGCTTATATACTTCTACAAAATAAAATTATTCAATTATTAGATAGAATTATACACTGACTCAGTCTTAAGAATGCACTGTATTGTTGATGTCATGTTAGAAATTGAATATCGAAATAGAAAATAAGCAAAACAATATAACGAACTATGACATAGATATTACTTGTATACGAAATACCTGTGCAAAGGTTACAAGTTTGTCTACACCGCAGAAAAGCGATATCGTACATGTCTCTTTGTTCTGGGATCGCATGGCACACACCGTATCCTTTCAGAGTGGCGCAATTTGTTATGCTGTCGGAGCAGTTACTAGGGATATCTGTAACAGTTTGATTTAAAAATAGATGTATTTCTTCCATTTTTGGAGAATTACACCTGAATTCAAAAATTTAGATACACAAGTTATAAAGTTGAAACCGCGACTGTCTTTTCATTTTCTCCTTATACAAGTCATTTGCATTTAACTGCACTTGGGAATTACTTTGCTGATGACTTTTTTTCTTAAAGAGGTAAATAAAACAAAATGCCGAAAACCAAAATCAATTTTGGTATACAAGTGGAGTAATCATACAGAAAAGTAATTAAAAATCTAAACTTTTAAATTTTGCAGGCATACAAATTGCTTAAGGAGGTTCGATCCTGAGCTTTTGAGCAGATTTTGGTCTGGACCTTTATTTCTAAAATTCTGCAAATTCTGAAAGTCCAGGAAAAAAATTGAGCCAATTTTAACATAAAATTAACACATTTTTAGTAATATCTAAAAATTTACATCATAGACCCCCACTTTGTTTTTCTTTTCTGAATATATAAGAAAGGTTTGATCAATCTGCTTAAATTCAGCAAAAGTTTAAGACTTTAAAATAATTTTCTTGCTTGTTATATTTTTAATGCCAGAAAAATCACATTTTGTGAGTGCAGAAAGGTCAAATAATTGATTTTGCGAAGCAATTTGAAACTTTTTCTTAGTCACAATTTTAATGTGACTTTTTTTAAATAGACTTATAGTTTATTTTGCCCCATGATTTATTTGGATAAAAACATTGGAGGAAAAACGTCGAAGTTGTGATTTTTTTTAAGACACAAATTTCAGTGCAAACAGGTCATATTAAATGTACTGTAGCGCCAAAAGCAGCATACTGACCCCAACTTTTTGTTTTTATTTTTAATTAAGCTATGTGTGTAGAAACTAAAAATATACTTGACAAAAAAAATTTAAGACTTTAAATATCAGGATCCAACCTCGTTAAAAAGACCATTAATGCAGTATTTCATTTGACTGCCAAAGTCCTGCAAACAAAAATGATAGTATGATTACCAGTTGAAGATGAAACAATTGTCGCAGAAGAAACAAAGCCTGTTGTTCCGTTAGGGGTCAGTGGAGTTGTAGCTTCTGTAGTATTCGCTCCGATAGACGAGGGAAAAAATGGACTGGCTGAGGGGGATATTGTTGAGGTGGTGGTAGTCAGGGAAGGTAATGTTGGTGTTGACCCATTGGATATTGATGGCTGCGTTACTACACTAGTGTGCTTAAATGTGATCGGATTAGAACTGTTGACCTCAGTATGACCTGGGATTCCTGCCGTCGTTGGCAATGTGGTTGAGGATCGAAATGTTTTAAAATATGGCTCATATGCCCCAACTATAACAATATTATAGGTATAATTTTTCATGACTAAAATATGGATCATGTGGCATTATAAACAAAGCGTTCTTAGCCTAAGAGATCAAATAAAGGTATTGCGACTATAATAAACATTTTATAGATACCCTTATTGTGGTCTAAATACTGTTTTAAAAATATCTCTTCGCTTCTTTTTAGTGCCAATGTAATCTGAGAAAATGGTAGGTCGCGATAATATTTCTTATTATTTTTGAATTCCTTTTACAGCTGATGTTATGTACTTTAGCACATTTTCTTCGTTTGTCTAAATGAGTAAACAAAAGGTGTGTCAAATTTGAAAATAAGAATTAATTCATTTTGAGAAATTTTAGGTTTATGCAATGCAAATATTTGAAGGGGTTTAATGTTCTTCGCAAGTCAATGCAAGGGTTTTTCCGTCCGCTTACCTCCCCACAAATCCTTGGCTTACGAACAAGGTGCTTATTGAGCGTTTCATCATTTGTAAAATCTTTTTTACATGACTGACATCAATTATATCAGTAAGTAAGTAAATACATTATTCATTTTCAATTTTGGGCCCATGAATGGCATGTAAGAACATCATCGTCATTATTACTATCTGTAATCAGCTGTAATTATTGAGAGTGATTTTAATATCAAGTGGTGATGAGGATAACAATGGAATGCTATACCGTTACTTACTGATACATTGTTCAGTTCTGCAACAGAGAACGTTTGCTCCATCTATACAATTATCCTAAAATGAAAATCATAAATAACTATTAGATATAAATTACATGAAATTGAACACAGTACATGATTTCTTAACATTCCATTTGAGGACGGATCTAGATGGGGTTGGAAGTTGGGTTACGAACTCCCCCCCCCCCCCCCCCTCGAATTTTCAAAGTTAATTTTTAATCAGAAATAAGAGCCAACGAGCTTTAGCTGTTGTAAACTAAAAGTTCAATGCTTTTTATTACCGTAATTTCACAGTGAGTAATTGGCATTATTGATGCATTCTTTGAATCAAACGAAATTCTGCACACAACACATTTTGTATTGTTTTGGAAGTCACAATGACCATTCCGACACAAAGGGCATTCGACAAGATCCAGTTTTCTGGTTGTCTGTACAGCCGGTGTACTTGTTACTGTAGTTGGTTGTGTGGTAACCTGATGAGATGGCGGCAAAGTTGTTGTGATCATCCAATAATTCGATCCAAAGGCCTGTTCTAATCATAATTATTGTTGTTATATGAAAAATATTTTTTATGCATATTCAATAAATGAAAGGGAATACTGTAATCATCAAATTCTTGCAACACCTTATTTTTGCGAGAAAGTTATTTGGTATTTATAAGCGAGACAAAATTGTTCACGAATTTTTTTTTTTGGGGGGGGGTGGGTTTGGGGGGGTGGGTTTGGGGGGGGGGTACATAATTTACATTGCATATGCGAGAGTACACGAGCAGACGGTGTCGCATAATTGCGCGAAAATGTAGTTCTCGTGATTAACAGTAAATAAAACTTTGATGTAGAAAGAATTTACTGAGATTCATTACGTACCTATGCATTTGATATCTCGGCAGCAAAAATGATGAGCGTCTTCATTGTGACAGTGGTGTCCCTTTGATAAAAAAATCAAGTGTCTCATATTTCGATGTTTTACTGACTTAAATACGATAAGGACTAACGTCAGTTTTCCTTATTTATGTAGTAATATCCCGCTATTGCCTGTTTTTGGTCATTACAAGGTTGATGTTGTAGGGATTTCAACTACCCTGTTAAAATTCAGTATTTCGGACTCCTTCTTCGGCACCTGATCCCACCTCTGGAATTTCCAGGTTTCCATGTTTTATGCCCTCTTCACATATTTGTATTGATTTATTCGAGATCAATCACTGTTCGTTATCTTCACCCTTTTTATTAGATGATGTTTTACAATATACAATATTAACTACTGATAATACAATACTTAACTGTGCTTTTGTTTATTTATCGTAATGTCAAATGCAATTTAAAAAAACATCATTCTATATATATATATATATATATATATATATATATATATATATATATATATATATATATATATATATATATATATATACCTGCTGAATACATTTTAGTTCAGGAGGCAGTGAAATGTGTTTAATGTGGTAGTCACATTTGTCACACAGCGAATAGTGGCATTGACCATGAGGATCACAACTTGGACAGAATATAGAAGTATCTTAAAAACAAATCTTAAAATTATCATCCGATACAATTTGATGATTAATTGCTTGTTCTGATGTATTTTCAGAGCAATCTATAATAACTTTGAATTTTGAATTCTTACTTCTCCTGAAACTTTTTTTGTACTATTTTGTAAAAAAGTTTACATTTTTGAAATTGCAAAATAGTTCAATTATATTTCAACATAGAATGGTGAAGAAGGGTTACATTTTGTCTTCAACATTGCTTTACCTTAACAAATACAGTCAACTTTGTGAAAGGAATTTCGTTAAAACATGTTTTTAAAAAATCCATAGATATACACGTTTAAAAAACCTTTACAAATATATGCACTTGAGGAACGAAACATATTTTGAATCTTGATTTAAAAAAAAAAAACTTACAAAGTAAACTGCTTCCTTGGTCAATAGTTTTAACCACAACTCCAAACCATTTTGCTTCATGAAACAATAATTCATAAGTAAATGAATTCAAGACAGAAACATCTTTCACCAAAATAATTTGATGATGTTATAAATGGCTTTTCAATACTAATATGGAAATATCATCTGAATGCTGTTGAATTTATTAATGTTGTTTTTAATTAAAATGTTTGAGCAGTAGATTACTAATCATTTTATAAAGGCGCTTAAATGCGCCATAAACGAATGTTTTCTTCCCTTAAACTATTGGTTTTTATTTGAATGATTGTTTAATTGTTAAATCCAAAGTTGACAAGCCTTCTTGTTTTTGTTTTTTTTATATCTAATACTTATACACTTGTCAGTGATATCTAATACTTATTTATACACTCGTCACTGGTATCTAATACATACTTCTACATTTGTCAGTGATATCTATAACTTATTTCTACACTCGTAAGTGATATTTTATACTTATATCTACACTCGTCAGTGATATCTAATACTTACTTATTCACTCGTCAATGATATCTAACACTTACTAACCCACTCGTCAGTAAAGTACATTATTTCCCATGTAGCTTGTAACATGAGATTTAATTGGTAACAAAGTCGGGTGTAAATTTCCGTACACCGGACTTGAATCCGGGGGGGAAAACGTGACGTCACAATGTATCGATAAATAAAAGTGCGAAGCACTTTTATGTTAAGTTTGAAAGTAAAATGTTAAGAGTTTATTCATCGATAAAATTTTCAAAAAAGAACGTTTCATTCTTATAATTCCATTTACGAAGTTTTCAAATTATTTCTCTTTGAAGCCCCCATACAAATGATACAATCCGTTATTTCTGTATGCAGCGTATGAATACTTTATGTCGCGATATGGAAATGAAACGTAATCGAGATGAACATCGATAAAGTTTAACTTAAATTGTCAAAACATTCAATAAAACAAACTTATAAAAACTCTTCGAATATTGTTTGTCAACGAATATCGTAAATACATGTAGACTTCAGAAGAATTCGTCCTTGACCATGTTTACATGTTTACATGAAAGACAGACGCTCTAAACTGAAAGTATCATACCGACGACACCCTTGATTTGCTCTGGGTTGTTTAAAGACAGGTGAGAATATAGGATTTAGAAATATGAATTTGATGCTAATAAGGCAAGAGTCTGAAGTACGTTTCTCTTTCCTATCAGCTACCGAGAACTGAGCTGATTTGCTTAGCATTAGGATCGATTGATTGATTGTATGTTGTTTTACGTCCCATTCGAGAATTTTTCACTCATATAGAGACGTCACCATATACCAGTGAAGGGCTTCAAATTTTGACCTTTACTCGGCACTCAGGGCCATTTAGCAGTGAGGGATCTTTATCGTGCCAACGTCTGCCGTGACACGGGGCCTCGGTTTTTAAGGTCTCATCCGAAGGACCCGCAACTTTCACTTCAAAGTGCCGAACGCATGGCGAAGGAACAGTTGCTACCCATATTTTATCGACTTGGGTCTGTCGCGGCCGAGATTCGAACTCACGACCTCCCGATCACGGAGCGAGCGCTTTACCGACTGAGCTACCGTGAACGGTAGCATTAAGATCGATGATAATATCCTATGAGAGATTTAAATAAAAATTCACACTTAATTTTATAATCTGACAGTGACATAAACATAACATTTCAGTCTGTCAGTCCTGTATGTCGTCAGCATTGTTTTTATTTAATTTAAAGTTTCTTTAATCGTTTAGCTAAAAAAGACTAGAAGAAACGATTTGTTTCACCTTTTTTTTTTTTACAATAAAAGCTAGGCCAAGAAAGTAGTTCTGGTTGAGAGATTTATCGATGTGTAAACTTTTTCTTGAATTTGTTCTCGTCCAATCAAAACACAAGAAATCAATAAATAAAATTAAGATTGGAATTATTTACTTATACGCTCGTCAGTGATATCTTGTACTTACATAAACACTTTTCAGAGAAATCTCATGCTTACTTCTACACTCATAAATGAAATCTAACACTTACTCATACACTCGTTAGTGATAGCTAATACTTACTCATACACTCGTTAGTGATATCTAATACTTACTTATGCACTCGTCAGTGAGACAGCATATATGGTGACCAGTGTCTGTACATTCATGCTCATGTCCCTGCTGTTAAAAATATATACTTCTATCAGTCTCAAACATTGTTCAACATGATACATAAAAAGCATACTTTTATTTATTTATTCATTTACTACTGCTTTGATTTTGTGTGAATATGGAATATGAATAAATCGTCAAAATATAATTTCAATTAAGTGAATGTCATCGAATGGGCAACAAATACTACGACATTTTATGAAGGTTTAATTTCTTGAGTTTTCAGTATTCACCTTAATACAGGTGGTGGTTTTCTGGTCCTGATGGTACACGCATCCTGTGCAAAAGGGGTGACTTCTGGAAGGATCACAAATGCCCTGACTACATACAGGACAGGATACATACATTGCTGAATATAGATTGAAATAAGTCAGTCAGTGAGTTCATTGTGATAAAACATCAAATAATGAATTAATTCCTAAAGCTTCTTGTCAATTTAGGTATAATGATAACACTATCAACTTAATATATTGCAAAATTGGTGTAAAATGTTTTTCACTACAAGAAATCAATGATTAATACTATACTCTGCTGGTTAATAATATGGTTTGTGGTGGACGTGTTTCTGCTTGATGAAGCTGTGGTAGGATAAGTCGAAGGAGTTCCTGGATAATATTGCCCAAAAGCTCTCGCTAAAGTTAAAACAAATAAAATAAATAAAATTCCTCAAAAAGCATAACTCTCTCTCTCTCTCTCTCACAGAATCTATTTGATTATTATCAATACATCTAAACATTTTTAGGATTCATGTAAACCTGTTCAGTTAATGACAAAGTCAATCTTTGGACAGAAGATTTAGTTTTCTAAAATCAGGTATTGGTAATACGTATCGAAGCTCAGAGCTTGCACAAATAACAAGGTTAGGACTTTATACTACATCATCCATAAGTATCAGCATGATGCAAGGAATTCTTACTTTTATTCTCACATGAAAGGAAGGAATCTATTCAATTCTAGGAATAACCAAATACCTCATACCACAATGAAATGTCTTGATTTGTATGGAATCATTCTCAGTTCCTTTTTCTTTTTCTTTTAACTTTTTTTGGCTTTTTCTGGTATGATTTGATACTATTTCTCTATGCAGATTAATTGAATACCGAAAAGCAATGGTTCCCTTCAAATCAGGTGTTCCTTTGCTACCATGTGGAAAGGTAAGATAATTTTGTTACATTGTTAATTAAAATGTGTTTGTTTGTATTTCATAAATGTCGTATATATATATATTGTGTGTGTGTGTATATATATATATATATATATATATATATATATATATATATATATATATATATATATATATATATATATATATATATATATATATATATAGTGTTGGTTATAATTGTTGTCAGTGAGTTGATATTCGGTATTTATTTCAGAAGAGTGCACATGCTTAGTATTGCTGATGATCGCGATGTCTGAGAATAAGACTTCTGATTGGTCGCCTTGGAAGAAGACTATTTTCATACAGACGGCTTCGGACTGTTGATGACTTGATCCTTCGATTATGTCTTCCAGGGTGTTTCTCTACTTATTGATTTAGGAGTTTGAACTTGTCACGTAGATGCTGTGATTGGATGCAGCGATCTTTTTGGATTATTGCGACCATAGGAAGACACGGCCTTTGATAATCAAATACGCTATTTGTGGCTAAAATTTTTGCTGAGGCGCACAATAATGATGTGGTGGATATGAAATTTAAAAAGTCTGCAACATCTCTCCCTGGTATTCCTGCACTAAACATGCCAAGATCTTGGTTGCGTTTATTAATGGAAAAGGTAGGGGCATATTTGAGCCATAGAGGGCAAGGATGTTTTATGGGGGTTTTTTTGGAAAAAATTACCTGGCTCTCCCAAAAAATCCATATTAAAGAAAATCATTGCACTCGATATCAACTAGTTTCTGAACAACAAAAGAAAACAGTTTCTGTTGTGTTGTTACTGTCAACGTATTACCTGTTTCTGTTCCAACGTTTTGATTACAAAAGATATTTGAAGTGAATATAAAATTTTAAAAAAATATTAATCTAAGAAAATTACTTATTGTGTGATGCGTTTCTTATAGTGGTCAATATATATTGTATTAGAATAAGTTAATACATATAAAACAAGAATGTAAGAATATAGAATAATCTGAGACGTATTCTGGGAGCATTTTAAAGGTTTTTGTGAACTTCAGAAAGAGATACCTATGCAGGACTCGTCATTGCAGCAGAGGGTGTTGTGGTTCTCATTGCAATGTTCCTACAAAACATATCATGTAGAATAGTCAGATAAATACAAAATCTGTAATTCAACCTGAAGGTATATTTTCAATATTTTACTTTTTATTTTAAATAATTTATCGTTGTGTTCAAATTTAACCTTTCTTTTCATGTCTATATCTGTGTTCTGAATCCTTACTTACATGTACATGTGAAGCTTTTAAAATCAAATTAGGAAAAGAAACATCTTTACTTACATTGGGTTTCAAACAATGAACATGAGGTAATTGTCCAGAGTGTAAGTCGATTTTACACATATGACACGTATCACGATAGACAAAGTCGCAGTAACCTTCGTGACAGACTGGGCAGTGTGCCATAGAATCTGTAAACAGCAGTGCAATCCAAAATTTCAGGATGGCAAAGACAATTGATTTAGGAAAATCAAACTTTAAGTTTGTTGAAATTGCATTTTTTTAACTTCCAAGTATTTTCTCTGTTTAGCGTCCACCCATCTTTCAGAAACCTACCTACCTATTCGCAAAAAACACACAAGCCACAAAATAAAAAAAGACTTTATAGTCCTAAATATCGTCATTCAATAATAAATATATTTTCCTCGTTGAAAGATCTATTTTTCAGCAAACCTGAGGTATTAATTGCTCAAAATATTCCTAACATGACATATTGTAGACAAATATTTATAGAAATTGACAGAATTCAAAGATTTTGACGAGAATAACCGAATTCAGGACTCCGTATTCTGTTTGTTTGTTCTGATATGGAGTGTCAAAAGCAAGGTGCACGCGGACACTCAACATAGAAAAAAACTTGGAAAAGCTTTGTCAGACATAGAACCTACGAGAGAGAGCGAGAGAGAGAGAGAGAGATCACCTGTATAATCTATGTGTTGGGGTATGGTATTGGTAACGTGAAATTCTCCAAAAAGGGAGGCTGAAATGAAAAACCTATAAAATACCTTGATTACCTTATTTTCATATGAAAAAAAAATGTTTGAAAAAAAATCTGGAAGAAAAATATTTACCAACACAGGCCTCAGTATTACAACAAAAATGATGATGGTCTTCGTGACAATGTCCAATCTGTAGATGTTATTTAAAAAGCTCATCATTACTTCCTCATTTTTTATTAATTCCTAAACTTTTTTAAATTATCTTATCGTAAGTTAGCAATAATGTTGAGTATTCAGTACTATCAATAATCTATATAAGGAGGATATAATCCCGAGACATTTTTCATTTCAAAATTCAAATATATACAGAAGTACATAAATTTACGTAGACGGAAACCTTGATGAAATATATGGATATAAATAACAGTATTCAAGCTCAAAAGTCTATGTAAACAGTACAAATCAGGAACAGAGCAGATAAGGACCTCTAAAATGTCAGAGGAGGGATCAGGTGCCAAGGAGGTTATAAGATCTCAATTATTTTTACTTTAAAAAAGAATCAATTAAGAAAAGGCGAAGATAACGAACAGTTGTCGATCTCAAAATCCATTATAGCAAATGAAACATGGACAGGTCAAAAAAAGGACAGACCCCTGGAAACACCAGAGGTGGGATGGGAGCCCTCTGTATTGATCTGGTAAACGGTACTACATGTACTCGGTATTAAAAATAAATGTAAAAACAATTGCTTTACATTTGCAATGAAACATGTTAATCAAAATAAGACCCAACAATAGGTTCATTTCTATTATGAATTCCGTCGAAAATTATGTCAGACGCTGGGCTAAGTATGAGGGTGAAGACCTGAACAATTTGTCAGAATGGATTACATGTTTAAGTCAATAATATATAAAAGAGTCGTGTAAGAAAGTAAAAAGGCAATATGAGAACCATCTATTTTTCCGTTTTCTCTGAATCGAAGGTGTTAAAAGAATTAGAAAGACTACATGAACCATATTTTGTCGTTCCAGCAGACAAGGCTTGTAACAACAGTGTCTTTGTTTATCAGGCTCATTATTATAACTGTATTTTCGAAGAACTAGGTTTTAATTCTACGTCTTGAAATCAACTCACAGTTCACGTTCCAAGGATAACATTCTTCAAAATCACATTTCAGTGTTTAATACTTTTAACATTCTAATCAGCCAAGGTGACTTCGATCTACACTATACTGGATTCCTGAAGTTCATAAAAATCCTTACAAAGATACACCAAATGCTCTACCTATCTTTTTCTCCTCACAAAGTATAAACTGCTGTAAAGGAGAAACCTTAGATTTACTGTTCCACAGCATATTTTAGAAATGGTATAAAGATGTGAATTCAAATAACTTTTAGAAAATTTAAAATCACCAAAATTTTCAAAAATTGTTTATAGCCGAACATTCAACTTTTCCATACTTTATGAACCGTCCTTCATGATAGATTAAAAACTGGGCGTTTTGATATCACAGAAAACTGTTTCTTCAACAAAATTCAAACTCGAAAATTTTCATATCTTCTGACTGGTAATTAAAAAAAATTCTCTGTTAAAATTACTCTGAATCTACATGCAAGTACTCTGAAGTTGATTTTAAAAGGATGTTGGAGACCCTCATTGACAACATTAAGGTGGTCTTTTGAGACCAGGTCTTCTATCTAGGTGGTATGGAGCTGCACAGCGACAGAGAATATAAATAATATCGCCTACTCGATAAGCGTATTCAGAGTTAACCTCAAAAGTGCAAGGGAAGCTAGATTGTTTGAGATAAAATTTGGAATATTTATTGCTTATAGCAAGCGCAGCGAGCGGCGCGAAGCGCCGCTCGTCATTGCGAGCTCTTCAAGCAACGCCTGGGCGAAGAGAAAATTAGGACTTTGCACAATGATCCAAATGATTTTTTTCCGCAGTAACCTGTGGTCCCATAATGCTTTGCGCTTTGCGAATTGCATCTCGCCGCAAACTACGTTCTCGCGGCAGCAACAAAAGTTCAACAAAAAATAAAATCACATTGATTTAATGGATAAAGCAGAAAACCCTAACAAAAAAATACTATAGTTAACTATAGTTAACTAAAGTGATAACTTTGACACTCTGAAAACTTTTATTTACTATAGTGATAACTTTGACACTTTGATTTACTATAGTGATAACTTTGACACTTTGATTTACTAAAGTGATAACTATGAAAACTTTGATTTACTATAGTGAACACTATGAAAACTTTGATTTACTATAGTGAAAACTTTGATTTACTATAATGATAACTTTGAAAGCTTTGATTTACTATAGTGATAACTATGCCACTATAGTGATCACTTTGAAAACTTTGATTTACTATAGTGATCAATTTGACACTATAGTGATCACTTTGAAAACTTTGATTTACTATAGTGATCACTTTGACACTTTGATTTACTATAAGTTAACTAAAGTTAAATATAGTTAACTATAGTATTTTTTTGTTAGAGAAACAGCAGATTAAGTATTCTCCATTGAAATTAGCACTGTTAAGGCTTTGGTTTGGTAATGCAACTTACATACGACGTCATGTCACGTCAGAGTCTAGACGTATCAAATGTCACGTGCGGTTTGAAGAGACGGATGTGGATTAAAACTGAATAGGTATCTGCGCTTGCCCTAACGGTCGCACCGTCAACATATTACCATGTATTTTGTAAAAAGCTGGGAGCTGATTTTCATCTGAATGACATTTTTATTCATAATAAATTTATCATACTCTGAACACACCGTTCACGGTAGCTCGGTCGGTAGAGCGCTCGCTCCGTGATCGGGAGGTCGTGAGTTCGAATCTCGGCCGCGACTGACCTAAGTCGATAAAAAATGGGTAGCAACTGTTCCTTCGCCAAGCGCTCGGCACTTTGAAGTGAAAGTTGCGGGTCCTTCGGATGAGACCTTAAAAACCGAGGCCCCGTGTCACGGCAGACGTTGGCACGATAAAGATCCCTCACTGCTCAATGGCCGTAAGTGCCGAGTAAAGGTCAAAATTTGAAGCCCTTCACCGGTATATGGTGACGCCTCTATATGAGTGAAAAATTCTCGAATGGGACGTAAAACAACATACAATCAATCAATCAATCAATCGTACTCTGAACATGCTTACGTACCAAATCAATTTAGAGACATAAATACCATATGCATATGCGTATGATATCATCATGTTACTATATACATATGGGATGACAGAAAAGCTGACGTCATTTCGTTTGTCATACTGTTCACTTATTAGTTGGATAATATTGTCTATAATAAGTAATCATTCAGATATGAAAAAAAAGATCTGGCCGTTTCTGCGGTGTCTTTTATTTCCAGTACACTGGAATATACTGAGTCGGCAAATGAAGAAAATAACTAGAGAAAATTGATAAAGTAATGTAGATATGTATACCTAAACGTTGAATGGAAAGCCACAGCCAGTTTTCTTCTTCTCATGAAGAGGCCTTTAAGTAAATTGTGCTTCATAAGAATATAAAAACAGGCAGGCTAACAAAGAAGCACACATTAGGGACGAGCGTTATTCCAACATATTGTTGAAGGAACTAAAACTTGAGATATAATCAATGAGTAACACTTAAATCTTTCTAATATCAGCTTCAGAGTACTTGTGTGTAGAAATCAAAATAATGTTTTAAAAATTTACTTTTAAGATGATCAATCACAAGATATGGAAAATTCAGAATTCCATTTTCATTGAAAAAGAAGTCTATAAGTATGATGTTGAAAAGTCCAATTTAATTGTAGAAAGAATTTGTAGAAGTTGTATCGGAATGCTTGTATAAAGTAAAGAAAAGTCCTACGTTTTGATGCTGTTGGGTTTTCTTTGGGGGGGGGGGGGGTTGTTATTTTAAATTTTCTAAGAGTCATTGGAGTTTTTGAGAATCCAGTTTGATTTACACCACTTCTAGAATATACTCTAGCACAGTACTTCTAAAGTTTCTCCTTTACAACAGTTGACATTTTGGTGAGGAAAAAATATAAGGGCTTGGTAGAACATTTGCTGGACCCGGTAATGTATATTTGTTTATTAGGATTTCTATGAAACTTTTCAATTTAGCACTGGTACGGTTAACTCAAATTTATTCCTGATGACTGGAGTGTTCAAAGTATTTAAAACTGAAACGTGGTTTTAAAGAACTTCATCCTTTGAAATGGATCTGTGAGATTACCAGATGTGGAATTATGACCAAAATGCATATATAATGATTACCCATACAAAGATTTCTCAGCTAGAACTATAAAATGTCAACATATAAATTATTCAAATTAAAGTGCACTATGTGGGTGCATACTTATATCTTCAAGCAAGTCGTATTGGTCTTCCCGCCATAGTGAGACTTCCCCCGGAAGTTCTGCTCCCATTGGGAGATGTCTAACAGTAGAGTCATACTTCCCCTCCAGAGCCATACTTTCCTCCCGAAAGTATCAAAAGACAGTAAGTCTACCTAAGTGAGAAGCCTCACTTTAGAGCCTTTATCCCCCGGCAATATTTACTGTAGAGTGATACTATCCCTATGGTCGATACAGTGACTTTATCAGCAAAAATTTAACACAATCTATCATTAAGTCGAATGCTGACATAAGTTTTTCATACTAATTGTTGGGCCATTATTTAAACACTGAATTGTCTACGGATTTTTCAGTTTGCCCGATTATCACAATGAACACACGGCGAATGTGACCGATCGAAAGGGGATGCATGCTTCTCCATGGCACCTCATCCCATCTCTGATGTTTTTTAGAGGTCCGTGTTTGCTCTGCTCCCGATTTGTATTATTTCAATGGACTTTTGATCTTGATTGCTGTTCGTTTTCTGAATGTTTCATTCACTTGCTAAAATTTGTCAAAACTACATTTTGGTATCAACAAAATTTTTTATTGATAATTTTGATTTGTAGAGATTCTGACCAAAATTTTCTAAAAACTGACGAGTGACCTACCTTGATACCTACCCAGATGCAGCAAGTTAAAAATACTTATATTCTGTAGTAGATTTTTCAATAGTAGGTAAAATTGGATTGTTGCTACGTACTTGAGCACATTTGACATCTTGTGGAGGTTGTCCCTGATGTGGAATTATTATTTGACATACTTCACATTGAATGGTATTACTCATGTCGCAAATGTGATGCTGACAAGATGGGCAGTTTATAAGAGGTACATTATGTCCTCCGCCTCTTTTGTGAAGAGAACTTGCTGAAATGAAAATAAAGGTTGTACATTATTCATGATATAAAATAAAAAGCTGATAATGTCATCATACCCAATGATTTATTGTCTTTTTACTGAGTGTATCCTTATGATAGATTGACATAACATATTGCTACCAAACTCTCTAGAAGTCAATTGTTTTTAACTAAATATATACATTGATATACATTGATTAGAGAGACTCATGTTTGAATTGTAGTTATAGTGCAATACACTAACTAGAGTTGATAGTCTTATGAACAATCCGGATCTTTACACACTGATAATTAACCAACTTTTCCTCAACTCTCGAGATGTTTCTTTTATCGTTATATAGTATATAATGTACGTTTGTTGACCAAAGAAAAAAATGATCCAACAACGTTTTGTATAAACATTTGACAGGAAACATATCAAAGATGATTTGAAAACTGACTATTATTGTTAAATCTTGCATCAAAAAAGCTGTGCACTATTTTATAAGTCATACCGTATAACGGGTATTTTCTGCGGTTGGAAATTTTTGCGATTTAACCCCTAAAAGATAGCAAATTAATTTCTGCGTTTTCAATTTCTGCGGTTGCATTATACCGCAAAAAATTATTTACTGGGTATGATCACCAAACTCTAAGAATTATAAGATAGCTGCCATGTTTACATTTTATAAATTTATTGAGCCATATTGATCAAAGGTGCATGAGAACTGGTATTAAGCTATTAAGCTTAATAAAACTAATATCTTTTAGTTAGTCTTTGTAAAATTATGTCAAGTCCCAATTGAAATGAATTATTACAGTATCAGTCCACCCAAACAACAATAAAAATCTTTATTCTACATTGTTACAAACGTTTTATGCGATCTATTAAAATATTTAAATATATAGATAATTAATGCATCCGAGCCATATTCTAAAAATACACTTATAGTTAATTGCCATCAAAATTAACCTGGTGTTTATATTGTAAGCTCAAACAAACAGTTGCATAATCAAGTAACCTAAAGTTGACCGTTACAATCACAGGTGTCATGTGCAATGAGGCGTAAATAATCCTGTCAGTCTTATGCATTAGGTGAAATTCACAAGACAATCAAGCCACATTGTGTATACAAGCAGTAATTATGGTCTCAAGATAAAACACAAGATTGAAAAAAAGTGTTAAAGAAAGAAGGAAAAGCTACTATGTGTTGTTTGCAGCTATCGGAGTTTGGACGAATAATTGCGAAATCTCTTTTAGTCATTTACTTGTACATCTATATCCGTATAAAATAAGAGATAGGTACAAGAAAAGATGTTTTTGTATAAAATTAATTAATTGATATTATCAACAGGAACGTTTTGATTCAATATGTTTTGGACAAATCCTGACATCTAAAATCTTCGAATTTCGATGACACCCGAATTTTCATGAGTCTGCGGACGCATCGTTTTTAAGAAGGCTGCATCCCAATTAATTTTGCTGCGTCCAGTACGCAGGTTCTTGCATTAATGAGAATCCTGTGACATACGCACAACTTATACTTGCATGTATAAATATATATCTGAAGAAATATTGAAAAATATTTTGCGATTGTAATTTTTGCGTATTTGTCCTATCCGCAAAATTCCGCAAAAATTGGACAACCGCAGAAAATACCCGTTATACGGTATATTATTTGAAATGGTAACCAAACAACAGAACTTTATGGTAAACGTGATGACTTCAACTTCCCTTATTCAAGTACCAATATACAACTATCACCTGCGAATGGAGTTTATGTCTCCCATTTGTTTCAATACAAAAGAGCATGCTCTACGTATGAACAATTCGAGAACGAGACAAGCTATTGACAAATAGCTGATGAAACAAGGGTATCAACAGTCTCGTTTTAAGTCAACATTCTGCAAATTTTATGGTCGAAACAATGACGTCAGCAAATACAATCTAGCATTAAGTCGAATGTTGAATGACGTTTTCATAAAAATTATTGGGCTATTATGTTCAAACTGAATTGTCTAGGGATTGTTCCGTTTGTCCGATCACGACAAGAAGAATACATCGGGTGTGAGCGTTCAACAGGGGATGTTAACTATTCGTTGGAACCTGATCCCACCTCTGCTCCCAATTTGTGTTGTTTTAATGGATTGTAAGCTTGATTACTGTTCGATATCTTTATATTTCATTGTATATATAGGTTGCATGATCAATATGTACTGGTCCCAGCTGACAAAGCAGGTAACATTGTCTTTGTTTGTAAGGCTCATTATTTTAATTGTATTTTAAATTTGCTGGGATTTAATTCTGCATGTTTTAATTCAACTTATACCCATATCTTCCTTTCAAAGGAGGAAACTCGTCAAAATCACATGTCAAATTAAATATTTTTAATATTCCCAACTATCAAATTGAATTTGAATTACCATACATATACTGGATTCCTAAACTTCATAAAAATCCTTACAAACTAAGATACATAGCGGGTTCCAGGAAATGTTCTATCAAGCCTCTTTCTTTACCCCTCACAAAAATATCGACAGACGTGAAGGAGAATCTACAGGAGAACTGTACAACAATATATTCGAGAAGTGGAGTAAATCAGATTGACAAATAAGTTAATGATACAAGGATATCAACACACTCGTTTCAAGTCAAATTTTGCTTGTTCAATGGTCGGTACAATGACCTTTTCAGAAAATACAAACTCATATCAAGTTCGAATGCTGACTGACGTTTTCCGTACTAATTGTTAGGCCATTTTTTACATACTGAATTGTCTAGGGATTTTTTTTTCGTTTGCCCGATCATGACTGTGCATTTTTGACTGATCATGACTGTGCATGGCTGGTGTGAGCGGTCAAAAGTAAATGCTATTTTTCCATTGCACCTGATCCCACCTCTGATGCTTTTAGAAGTCCGTGTTTTCTCTGCCCCCTTTTTTACTGCTCGCTTTTGTATTGTTTAAACTTTTGAGCTTGATTACTGTTTGGTAACTTCGAATTTCATTAAATATTAATTTTAATTACATTCAAAACTATTCCAGATTTTTTTTTTTTTTTTGCCAAATGAACTACAATACTATATACTATATATGTCAACATTAAAAGTAAACTTTCAAGTGTGGCGTCACTGTGTTTTTGTGTCATATATTGCTAGTATGGGCTCTTAGAGGTCTGTGTTTGCTCTGCTCCTATTTTGTAACGTTTAATGGACATTTGAGTTCGAATACTGTTCGTTATCTCCACATATTTCATTTCACTCATACATGAAGTGAAAACACCCATGCAGATAATAGCTTCACTTTTAACTTGCAACAGCTAGACGGACGGAATAGTTCTATAGAGCATGATATCACTATAACAAAGAAATAACGATTTATGAATCGGAATTCACTTCTAACTTGTTTTTAAATAGGTGTAGCCGCTGTTGTCTAAGTTCTGTTCTACGTCAATGTCCACTAATCATGGGAAATGTTGGTTTAGGACATCTTAATTCTATGCACAATAAGTAATTACTTACTGAATGAGATTCCTGCTAAGGAAAACAATGTCAATATTACGAGGAACATCCTGTAGAATATGTTATCAATGGGATGGTATGGTTCAAGCTTTATAATGGCCAAGGTCTTGACTTATCGAGATAATAGGACTACGTCAAATATCAAACAATGCACAGCTTACCTCATACTAATACTTTTTTTTCAAAAACCACACATGATTTTAGGGCAATTGGTTTAAATAATGAACATTTTTTAAACGTTGTGCAAGAAATATGCACATAAAAAGGTAAATCAATGAGAAATTATGCTTTTAGAACGGTAAACTTTATTTAAAGATTCTTCTGGAAAATGATTTGCAAATATAAAAAAAAAAATTATATTGAAATATTTTCTGCTTGAACTTTTCTTTTAGTAATAGTTTCATTGTATCTATGACAAATTTCATAACATTATTATAATGTATAAAGGAGATTGAAATATTAAAAGTTAACAAGTTAAAATTATAAAAAGGTACTGAACATTATAATTAGTTCATGCAATTTCTCGGCTGTATGGACCATTTTCTCACTTTGTTCTTTTTCAAGTTTACTGATTTTCATTCATCATATTCCAATAGATATAACACACTTATTTACAGGTAATCTTGAAACAAATACTACGCTTTATCATTGACCCATTGTCGTATCAGTGCCCTTGAAAGTGTGATAGTAAAAGAAGAAAGGACAAAAGGTTTTTATCTAAAACCAGCACATTTTCGTTTGCAAGACTTAATATTCGTGGTAGCCTAGTGGCTGGGCATTTGCTTTGTGGTTGGGAGGTTCGGGTTTGTTTATCGTGTCGCATCAAACTTATGGCACAGATAGGGACTGTTTCTTCGCCAAGTGCCCGACAGTAGGAGAGAAAGTCACGGGCCTCTTGATGAGACCTTAAAAACCGAGGCTCTGTGTCACGATAGGCTTTGACACGATAAACAACCCTCAGTGCGGCAACCTTACGCGCATAGGTCAAAATTAGTTGAGCCTCTACAGGTGATGCCTCTACATGAGTGAAAAAACCCCATTGGAATAATACAATATACAATCAATGCAAGCAGTAAAGTCAAAATTTCAATGCACTATATTTGCTTTTTAATGATAAAAAAAAGCTATTCGTACAAGGTTTACATTGAAACTTTGCTATGTACAATATCATATACTGTGTATCATATTGAACGATATCGAATGACACTATCGAAATTCTTTACATGAAACATGTGGAGATAACGAACAGTATTCGAGCTCAAAAGTCCATTAAACATTACAAAATAGGAGCAGAGCGAACACGGACCTCTAAGACATCGAAGGTGGGATCAGGTGCCATGGAGGAGTGAGCATCCCCTGCCGACCGGTCACACCCGCCGTGTGCTCCTAGAATAAAATTTCGCCACAAATCTGACCATTGAGTATATTGTTTGAAATAAGAACAAAACATTGCATTTAATTGTTTGGGGAAAAATTAACTGCTGTGAAAGACAATCCTCAGACGTACTGAACTACAACATGTTCAAGAAGTGCTGTAAATCAAATGTGAATTATGAAAGAAACTTCATTGAACTTAAGTTTGAAACCATTCATTCTTCATTAAGTAACAAAACGAAGTAAGTAGTTCAAATACCTTTATGAAACCTAGGTAAAAATAAATTTTCTTTTTTTATCAATATTACCTCTCATCTGTAAATTCCTATTTTATTTCTCGGTTGTGTGTGTGTGTGTGAGGGTGTGTGTGTGTGTGTGTAACTGAAAGTAATTTTAAAGCTATACATGGCATATCAGAGCTTGAAAAATAGTGTAAATATACATGATATATGTTATTTACGTTCAAATTAAAATTACACCGATTTTGAGCTTTAAAAATCTCGCGTTTCTATAGTTTAATTGACTTTAAATTTGTCTGTTATTTAAATGTGGAGTCGGTACATTAAATCGGATATTGTTTTAAATTTTTGATATCTTTGAAACAAGATTGATTTAAATTGTGTTATTTAAAGGAAAGTTCTATCTTCATATAAAGTAATAAAACAAATAGAAATATCTTTTTAATTTTGGTTACCTGAACTTATCAAAAAATATGCCATATATGACTTTAAGAATTCCTAAGCATCTTTAGTGAAGTGAAAAAAGATGCATTTCTTGACATGAATTCTTTTCTTGATTGTAGATCTAAATCTTAGTGTTTTCGGAGCTAACACTTCAAAGGAACTTTTTTTTTTACCTTTTTGTTCTGGTTGACGGGAACTGAGACTGTCCGAAAATTGCTCGTCACCAGTATTAACGCGCGTCTATACACAAATTGCACTTTGATTACTAGTAATTTCGTCTGAGCGAAGAGGTTATCACCCTAGAGTATGCAAATTCTAATCACAATTGTCACAATGAAATATGAAGATAAGGATCAGTAATGAAGCTCAAAGAACAAAAGTCCAATGGAACAATACAAATAGGGAGCAGAGCAAGAGCAAGTTGAGCAACACCATGAAGTAAGGATGATAACCATGAGATATAGGCAGGTATTAAAAAGTTTCAGTAAGTCAATAACACTGGTATCAAAAACATTTGACCATGCTTAAGCATTCCATTACAGATCCTGTCAGGACAGACTGCTTTACCATTTTTTTCAGTTTGCTGTTTGCTTTACTTATTTCATTCAAAGATATTTTGTAGTCAAGTTCATGAAATATGAGTGTTGATGTTTTAGTTGGTCTTTGAGAAACTGATCTTGTTAAACCTTAATATATTCAATCAAGTTATTAAATTATTCAATTTCTTGAAGTGGTTTACCCAATTATTAGTAGAGATTGATGTATCAATTGTGTTTTTTTTTCAATTTCTTAATTTACGTATAAGTTTCTAATATTTTATGGATCAGTTGAACCTAAAGAGTTCAGCTTGTTAATGATATTACAATGGTATGATCTAAATTTTTGTTTGGGTAGTTTGTTATAAATTATATAAGCTCTATAATACTGATTCTTAACATAAATATATCTGGGATGCAACCAAATAAAGTTCCCTTCTTTACTTGTTTTGATTGATTGATTGATTGTATGCTGTTTTACGTCCCATTCGAGAATATTTCACTCATACAGAGACGTCACCATATACCGGTGAAGGGCTTTAAATTTTGACCTTTACTCGGCACTCAGGGCCATTCAGCAGTGAAGGTTCTTTATCGCGCAACTTTCACTTCAACGTGCCGAGAGCTTGGCGAAAGAACAGTTGCAAATCTTTTGCTTTTATGTTTAGAAGAGTATTTATTAATTTTACACGTTTTATTGTTAGGGATATTTGGTTTTAATGTCATATTGGCAGCAGCTTCTAGGGAATCTAAATTTCTTTTTTACTGTTGATTTTATAGACTCTATGTCATTGATGTTCATGGAATTATCAAAATTGCTGTTTATTTTGGATAATCGTTATGCTTTTGTAAACTTAAAAGCAGAGTCTTTCTCCCACTGAAAGGATAAATGGGTTTTGTATTGTATTAGTAAAACCATATTAAGAAAAAATATTACATGACAACATATACGACAATGTGGAAATAAAATCTGATGCTTCAAAAAACATAATAAATTGTACAATTTCTTCAGCAGTTAAAAGATAATCAACAACACTACTAACATGATAATTATGCCACGTTAAATCTCCACAAATGTCACCAAAACATCTTTTCATAATACGGTGTATGTTTGCAAATACAAAAGTCTACTAGTGTTCTTTTCCTCTTTTATTTATGCAAGCATCTTTGTTAACTCTGTTGAAAATATCATAATCGATTTTATACGTTTCAAATAAGGGTAAATATTGAATGTCATCATCAAATATATAATCAGCTGTATTTCCTGTTCTAGCATTAAAATCTCCACAAAGTATTATATTTCATAAGTCTTTTAAATTGATAATTTCTTTCCGCACAAGCTGTAGAAAATTAACATTATTGTTATTTCAGGTGATCTCTCGGGAGGGGGGGGGTATACAGTACATATATAAACAAATCTTTATCAAAATAAAAAAAAGCTCTCTATAATTTGACCCAATGATATTAATTACAATTATTTTTAACTACAGAGACATGAGCTTTAATCTCATGCTTAATTATTAGATATTCCTCCATAGTATCTGCCTTATTAGATCCACTTCTACAAATTGTATAACAGTAAAAATCATCATATATTATAAATGTATCTGGTCCAATGAATGTTTCCACAAGGAGATCTTGATAGAAAAAGTTCAGCATCTTTTTTTCATACCTGATATCAATCTTCAGATACTAAAAAGAAACACAATTAATATTTGTCTTTATGTACACCTTATACAATCTAGGAAAACTTCCATATTTTTTATTCCAATTCAAGAGAAAAGGTACAACATTCTTCAATAAAATATTAATGAAGGTATTTATGCCCTGTTCACCGAATTAAATTTGATCCGCGTTCACACGGAGAATTTAATGCGAATTAGTTTAATTCGAATTAGTTTACTGTGCATTAAATTACTTCGCATTAGCTCCGTGTGAACGCTAAGCGAAGCTAATTCGAATTAAATTTTGACGCATGCGTAAGGGCAGAATTAAGTCACAGGCCAAATGTCGATGGTCAAATATAGGTACTTGTGCTATTTTTGAGTGGAAAACAAAGGAAAATTATGTCAATCACTAAAATGTGTACAGACACTATGACATTATGTAGAATGTATATCAGGGGCCTGTTTTACAAAAGAACTTACAACTAAGACCAAAATTTAATTCTGCTAATAATTTTGTAATTTACATTAAATAGAAAATGGTTTTAATCTTTTTAACAAGTATGTAGAAAGATACTTTTACGCTAGCAATTGTAAACAGAATCATTAATTTTGCAAAATTTTACAATCAACTAAAGTTTTTGGTCTTAGTCGTAAGTTCTTTTGTAAAATGGGCCCCTGCTCTGTATAATGTGACGTGATTTGTAAATGACGTCATAATAGCCTTGCTGAATAGCCTTGTTGTAGAAATAAAATTTTAATTAGCATTAGCTTACTTCGCATTAGCTGTCG